TTAAAATTAAAGATATATTACAATAAAAATAACTGTATACATTTAAATATATAAATAAAAATAATACATAAGTAATAAAAATAGCAATTATACATAAATAAAAAAATAAACCTACGCATATAAATATAAATGAAAATATAAATTAATACATATAAACAACACACACATGAATATATGTGTCTATATATTCACAATTGGCTTAGTGAAATAGCAGTTTCTCAATAAAATTTTATGATACTTGCTTTAAAGGAGATTAATGATTATGCTATCTTTAAGTTATTCAAAAGTAAGTTCCATAGACGTGTAGCACGTACAGTAAATGACTTGGTATAACTTTAAATCAAGGCAAATCCATAATCAAGTCATTACTGTATCCCAGGCGGACATCAAACTCGCGAAATTTAAATCTTAAGTATTAGTTTTTACCTGCTATTTGATTTGCGTGACTGGAATATATTGATGGATCGGGATAAAAAATAGTCTATGCTCTTTTTCATTTCATATTGAGTTATACCACAAGACTTATGTATATAGACCAGTTTCGAGACAATTAACTGGACTGTTAAGATCCTAATTGCTAAGAAACAAATTGACTCAATTTTACATTTATAATATTAGTAAGGATATTTATTTATTTATTCTTTATTGCACAATAAAATTTTGTACAAATGGCGAGCTTAATGCCATATGGCATTCTCTACCAGCTAACCATTGGGTACAAACAGAAAGCGTATGAAGGGCAGATGTGGTGAAAAATATGTGACAATTATAGTAACACATTAAGGCAATACACAATATAAATATAATATACACATAAGAAATGCACATATAATACATAAACATTACTTTTAATATATATGGATAAACTAATACATATGAAATATATACACATATACACACACATACATATATATATATACATATACATACATATATATACACATACATACACATACATACATACACATATACACATACATATACATAAGTTAAAACAACGATAAGCATTATGAGATATAATAACTATTGAGTGACCTGTAACTAGAGCTGGTTTTGTTGACTCAACAAATAATTAAAAAGTCTTCTTTTAAAAATATCTTTACTTGATGCTCTGCGTAGATCTACAGGGATTTTATTCCAAAGGCTGATAGCGGTGACAGTAAAAGAATTGGACATAGATCCGGAATGATGTGACGGGGTGATGAGGAGGAGATTATGAGATGACCGAAGATTAAGGGTATGGGAGTCTTTGAGATACTGAAATCTATCTTTCAAATAAGTAGGAGAGGAAGGATCATTGAGGATAGAGAACAGTGTGCAAAGTATACGTAAGTCTTTGCGGTTACGAATGGTCAACCATTTGAGTTGTGAGCGGAAATTAGAAACGTAGTCATACTTACGCAGCCCGAAGATAAAGCGAATGCAGTTGTTAAGCAAACGATCAAGTTTGTTCAACTGTTCTTGCGAGAGGTTAGTAAGACACACGTCGGCATAGTCGAAATGCGGAAGTATTAGGGATTGGACAAGGAGTAATTTAGTGGACGGAGGAAGAAAAAATTTAAAACGATAAAGAGCACGTAAAATGCTTGTAATTTTACGACACATTTCAGCCACTTGGAAATGCCATTTCAGTGATGGGTCGATTAACAGACCCAGGTCTTTGACTTTGGCACTGAATGGAATGACGCTGTTCTCAAAACGCAGAATCAAGTGAGACAAGTTTAATTTGGGTAGAAGTTTAGAGCTACCAATAATAATTGCCTGGCATTTAATTGGATTAACTGAAATGCCAAAACGATAGGACCAGTGCGAAATACTTTCCAGATCGGTATTTAGTTTATCTACAGCTTCAAAGATGTTATTTGGATCAGCTTGAGCATAAAGCTGTAAATCGTCTGCATAAAGGTGGTAAAAGCATCTAAGGTGGGAAATAATCAAATTAATAAACAAAGAAAATAAAAGTGGGGAAAGAATACCGCCTTGCGGAACACCAGTTTCTAGTTCACACCAGTCAGAAAGAGTCTGCCCAGAACGTATGGCCTGTTGGCGTCCGCGAAGATACGAAGAGAACCAGCTCAGTACTAACGGAGAAAAATTAAGACTGCAGAGTAACGTTAACAATAAGTCATGGTCGACACAGTTAAAGGCGTTGGAGAAGTCAATTAAAACTAAAATAGTAACGCGTGTGTTCTCCATACCATCACGAAGGTCTTCCGTTACTTTTAATAAAGCTGTCGTAGTACTGTGTCCGGGACGGAAACCAGATTGAAAGGGCTAAGAAAGTTACATTTTGAAATATAGGTGAATAATTGTTTTTGAATTATATTCTCGAGAACTTTCGAGAGAAATGGCAATATGGAAATAGGTCTAAAATGACTAGAAAGAGTAGGATTAGCGTTTTTAGCAAGGGGAATAACAAATGCTTTAAGCCACAATTTTGGAAAACAGCCAGTAGACAGAGAAGAATTGGCAATGTGGGTCAGAATTGGGAGAATAATATCTAATAAAAGAAGGACCATCATTCTACTCACATCGTCATATCCTGTTGCATTTGATTTGATGGATAAAACAGCTTTGCGTACATCGTCATCAGTTACTAAAGAAAAAGTAAAAGAATCCGTGTTAAATGAAGGCATGGATTTAATTTCCTGTAAAGTGGAGGCTTTAACGGCATTATCAAGAGGAGGTATAGAAGAAAAGTACTTATTAAGGTTATTAGGGGAAATATTTGAATTGAAAATAGCTGGGGCTTTCCCAAAGCCCAGAGAGTTCAGGAATTTCCATACATTTGCCGAAGAAGAATTTAAAACATTTTTATGAATATAACGGATATAAAGGATATCATCGTCATTTTATTTATTTATTTATATGCTTTTGTACATTCACTTATAATATAGATATTAGGTTATACCAAAATGTACACAAGCGGACTTATCTCTTAAAGTAGTTTCTTCCAGTCAACCTTGAGAACCCGAAAAGAGAAAGTATTTATAGTGTCTGTATATAACGCATAACATATAAGGTCATTTATACGTTAGAAATGAGAACTCTTCCAGAGGTAGATGAGATCTGTATTCTATTATAAATTAACGATCAATGGTTTGTACGTTGGATTATATCTAGATGCCTATTTAGAATATGGTTGGACCATGGAACCATATCTTAAGTAAATGGTAGAAATTTTTTCTAAATTCCCCTGCTATCAAAAAATACTACTAGTAGTACATAAAAGCCTCTGATAAGACTTATCAGATTATCATCTGTTTTTCGTGTTTTTCACAGTAAAAATGATGTGACAATCATTTTGTTCAGCCTGTTTCATGTTAATCATCCTGTTTAGAACATTTACCGAACAGGAATTTAAAACATTAAGAAATAACCTCCGACCTCCACGTGGTCCCCCCTGGAAACCATCGTGCTGAGGGGGGAAAGGGATTGTTAGCAACAGTTGTTTGACAGCCCCATTGCTAGCAATATGCCTTATTAGGTCGACCTCCACGTGGTTCCCCCTGGAAACCATCGTGAACAATTCTTGTTGAATTCGTCACGATGGGCTAACTGACCTACTTCATCCTCACCTATCATCCTTCACTGGTGCCCCGCCTGTGTATACCAATAGCGCGGGTGGGGTTATGATTCCATTATCATCCATTAAAAAAAAACCCTCGTGCTGAATTCCAGGTGTATTCCTCACGTTGAGCTAACTGACCTGCCTTTTCGTTCTCATCTATCATTTCTCACTGGTGCTCCGTTAGCGCAAGCAGAGCAACCATTCTATTGTCATCAATTAAAAAAAACCACTTGTATATACTCTGTATTATCTAAGTATTTTTTATTTTGTAAATTTCTTAGAGTTTACAAATATATTCAGTTTTTATTGTTAAATTGATATAAGATTTTAAATGTTACAGTTAAATATTAAAGTTACAAAGGTCAAAATAAATTTAATTCTTTCAACGGAACGCTTCGATTAGTGACGGGCTCCTAACACATGAATAGATGTTAATTGTTATGTAAATGCACAATAGTGACAGTTGTAGCGCTCTGATAAACTTGAACTATGTTATTTTTTATGGCCACACGTATTCAGCCAATAATTCCTGAATTAACAACAAATAAGTAGATACTTTCGCATTGTTTATGACGCGAGCGGTTTATTAATATTTATTCAGAATATCCGCATTTAAAATAGAATTGCTGATAAATAATCACTATATTAAAATATATACGTGCATATATATAAATAATATTTTACTTACTTCTTAAATAATATTAAATAATAATTTAGGCGTAATTTACTGACTTCAATTTATTGATATTATTAAAAATATACAAAAATCCAAAATGTGCTACCGAACATTTGAATAATAAAAAATCGGTTGAATTAAAAACAAAAAATAGTGTAATGAAATCTCATAAGGTGAATATAAAATTTTATTTTTAATTTCGAAATATCATTAAACAATTTGAGATTAATTTTCGTTGTCTCTTTGTAAACTATAAACGCACGTACTGAATAATAAATAATAAAAAAAATGAACTTATATAAAAGTATGAATATTTAAATGGAGCGCGACTGAGCCTTGGCTGCCTTGGTACTAGCGAGAGACCGGAATTAAATTATTGCAACTTTCCAAATTGCATACTGGCGTAATCAAGCTCAAGGATTGCTTTATAATTTTATACGATTTAAGTATATGTCTATATCCTCTAATGTATATATATATATATATATATATATATATATATATATATATATATATATATATATATATATATATAAAATATATAGAAAAATGGGGTCTCCATTGTATTATATTATAGTATATTAAAGAGAAAAAAGAATTATTAATTTGCACCTTTATTAGTTAATTTATAACTTGTTTGTCTTATTCTCATGTTTGTGATAAAAATTGTTAATTAAATAAATAAATTGCACAAATAAAAGAAATATTATTATTATGACTTTTTATAGATTACCCTGATTTGACTTTTTATGAAATGTCAAGATTATGTTCCAAATAAGGTAAATTTATTCATCTTAAGCAAGTATCTAGAGATGGGCAATCCACCTGGGTGGGTTTAAAGTCTGGTGGGTAAAAACCGGGTGTTTTGGGTTTATTGGGTTTAAACCCCATAAACACCCAAATTTTTGGGTGTTTATGATTTTGTACTTCATCATCGTCATCTCAGCCGCAAGACGTCCACTATACTGGACATAGACAATATTATTATGCAGCCTACAGAATAAAAAACTTTTAATTTGATTTTGAGTTTATTAAGAAAGAGATGAAAGTAAAATGTAAAACTACAGTCAATCACTGTCAGATTCAGAGTTATTACAAGCGATGAATTGTATAGGTTCGATAGGCTCTATTTCGTCTAAACTGTTATGTTCATTTACTTGCTCAATGAAAGCTTCTAAGGTATTTTCTTCATTAAACTGAATGTCCTCGCATTCAGCTTTATGTTTAAGATTCCAGTTATAACAAATGAATGAAATTTTTTCAGTTCTTTCAGTTGTAAGTCGATTTCTTTTGTTATTATGTATGTAGCCTTGGATACTAAAGGAACGCTCAGTGGCTGCCGAAGTACAGGGAGCTGATAGAATACGAATCGCTACTTTGCTTAACTCAGTGGAACCACAAATACCTTTCCACCATATTAGGGGCTCAATGCTATCTAATGAGCTCCATACAAATCCTCTGGCCCAAAAGTTTTCTTTAGCTTTATAACACGCCAAATCTGCCATTACATTTGACAAACTTAAGTGTTGGCTTAAATTGTAGATAAACTCCATACCCTTAAGTTCTTCCTCTTGAGTAAGTTCGACTCCTAGAGTCCTGGGGTCTAGAATATATGCTGCAAAATGTATTGGCCTCATTGCCATATTGCATCTTGAAGATACTGATGTTAGAATCTGCTGTTTGCTTTCTTCGCTCAATGTCGAAATCTCATTTAATGCAAAACGTATCTTAGCTTGTACATCTCTAAATGTAATGTATGTGCGATGCAAACGATTCTGGTCGCTCTCTAAGTAAAATATGCTTTCAGTGACTGGTTCCAAAATACTTATACATTCCCCTGTCTTCGTCCAGAAATCATCACTTAGAATTAAATCTTTAATATCTCTTGAAATTACTACATCTTCTCTAACTGTTAATATTTGCAAAGCTATCTTATTTGCTTTCAAACTTTTTAACGAAGTAACATGACTTCCCCATCTTGTAGCACAAGGCAATTTTAGTGTTTGTGTAGAATCTTCACCCTGCCTTGATTTTATCAACAAGGAACTTAATCGTTGACTCCTTTTAACAGTTTTTATTATATTTATGGCTTGCATAATAAACACAGTTACTTCTTGTATCTTTACAATATCTTGGCACAACAAGTTAAGGATATGTGCACAGCAACCGAGAGGAACAACATGTGGATATTTGAGTTTTGTTAATTCGAATGCCTTTTGTATATTTCTAGCGTTATCGCCAATAAGTACAAGAAACTTATTTGCTCCATACACTTTCATTACTTTTTCAACTTCTTGGCTAAGGTATTCACTAGTGTGAGGATTACTTTCTGTATTCAAACTTTTAACGTATGCAGGTTGAGGTTTTGATATAAGAAAGTTTATTATTCCTTCATTTCTTAAATTAGACCAGCCATCGCACTGAAGGTGTAAGTAACTACAAGCATTTAGTTCCTCATTTAACTCAAAACGCATTTCTCTATATATTTTATCTAAGTATTTTGTCGCTAAAGCTTTACGTGAAGGTATTTTAAATTTTGGTTGCAATTTTTCGAAAAATTGTATCCATAAAGGATGTTGCACCATCGATAATGGCGTCCCTGTTACAAATATAGCTCTCGCTAATTCTGTTTTTATATGATCATCGGTGTCTTGAAACTCAGCATTTATTGTAGTGTTAGCAGACGACGAGGGGCTTATAAAAGAATCATTTGTCTCTATCTCTGACAGTCCAGACATTTTGGTTTTGGACGAGCTATCTTTTATAAGTTTCATAGAGTCTTTTAATGTTTCTGGAGATTTTGGACAAGTGATAAGATGTTGAAGCATTTTGGCAGCATTACTGAATTTGTAGACCTTATTACAAAGCTTGCAAGAAACAGACTTGTTTGGTAAAGTACGGTAGTGCTCCCATATGCGTAAATCTTTAGGTCTCCCCATTGAACCTAAAAAAATGAACGATGATTAGTTGGTCTGACGAAAATTCAACAATAGAGTGCCTATTTTTTTACAATGATTATTTCTTGTTATTTACAATAAATTTATTAAAAAAATAATAAAATAAATACAAAAAACCTTTGTAAAATTACATCTCCTCGGAGGATTAAACGCAGACGCTAGTTTATTATCGTATTGTTCTGTATTTTTCTCAGCAACTTCTTTAATTCGATTAGGTACTTACGCATATTATGTTAAAAATAAATATCTAGTACACATCTTAGGCTATCCACCATTATTATCCAATGACGACTCTCAGCTAACTATGCACTATCATCCAAAATAAACGTGTATGGAAAATTTTATCCCAGTCGGTTGAGGATTGAGGATAATTGCATCAACATACGAACATACCTACATACTTTTATTTACATAACGCAAGCTAAATAAAAGCTTGTAATAATACATCTAATTTTAAGTTAAAATTGTTAAGTGATCATGATATAATTGTATCATTCAAAAATCCACTTACCTTTAATTATTTCTTGTTAAGTATAAATATTATTTCAAATCTGCTCCCTTAATATGCACTTTTTTACTGCTTTTCCTACCTAACACGTTACCAGGAAGTCACGTTACCAGAGTCAGAGTAATAGTGAACACGTTTGACAGTGATTGTCGTCGCCTCATATTCAGCGTCGACGAATAGGGGAATCCCCAGTCATAATGTATTGCATGCGTGGCGGTCTTACTTCAAATCCATAAACAAAGAGATAATTACAGAACTCGATACTAGATGGCGCTGTTTTTGTTTGAAGAAAGTTTGCGGGCTAAAATACATAGAATTTCATCAATGACTTCCACAAAGAACAACATTTCTGTTTTTTCTAAGTCCGTATCTCTTCCGTATATTTCATAAGATATAAGCTTGGGCTACATTGTTATGCAACGTGATTTTGTCGCTGTCTTGCTAGCAGGGTTGACAGATATACGATTTAAATCGTACTCATACTATTATTTGTCTATTTTTTAATGTACGATCGTAAAGATTATGATCGTAATTCGCACAAAAACATACGACTTTTTGGTTACCTGGCAACATTTTTATTATGAAACGAACATGCTCACATCATCAGTCACATGCAACAATTTATTGGGGATTTCCCCTTCACATCTGGCAGTCCTGCTTGCTAGAATATAGGTAAGTCAGCCACAGTTACTGACGATCGATATTTAAAGGGTATTGTTTTTGTGCTAAATATTTCATAAAAACGTTATTTAATACTTTGTGGATTATTAATTTAGTTGATAATCACTGGAAGTAAAATGGATGCTAATTTGAGAGATCAAGATCTTCGTATAAAACAGTTAATAAAAGAAAATCTACGTAAGTACTCTTTTTATACCTAGGTAGGTAAGGTATAATAAACACAAAAGGTACTTAGATCGCGTGTGTTCGAAGCATTTATTCTAATAAATTTAATTTAAAATTGTAGAAAGAAAAAAATGTCTGCCAAGCCGTAGCCGAAGCCGATCTCCAAATATATTTGGCGATAGTGAGACCCAGTGTCCAGATGATTTACCCAGCGTCGTCGTAACAAAGAAAAAAAACGAGGATAAAGTAAAAGAAAATTTACTGAAAGAAGAAACAAACTGTTCTAAATGCTTAATTTATGGAGAAGAGGATAAAAGAAATGAGTATTTCGGACTGTTAGTGGCTCAAGAATTTAAATATATACGGCCATGTGTGCGAACGAGGTGTTATGAAGAAATTTTAAAGTATCTACGGGAAGCAAAAGGCCAACATGTTGATCAACTGCAACATGAAAACACTGAAAATTAATTACTTTCATTTTATTATATATAGATTTTTAAAATTTCCTGAAATATTATTAGTTAACGTTTTATTTAATATTGTAGAATTGATCAATACAATTTATAAAAATAATTTATTGGTATTACTTACATATTTTCAAAAAAATACGTAAAAACCTATTTTTTTGGGTGATTATGGGAGTTTATGGGTGTTTATTGGGTTTTTACCAAAGCACCGGGTTTAAACCCGGTGCTTTGCCCATCTGTACAAGTATCTAATATAGTGCGTGTTTTACTGGCCTATTTATTTATGGGTACTAGATATCTACAAAAGGTTCTCTCTAAATAACTGCCTGCCTCGAAATTATATGGAATTGTTAATCTTTATTTTATACAACTGAGAATGGCAAACAAGCTGACGGCCCACCTGATGGAAGTAATAACCGTCCTCTGTAGACATGAACAGACCATGGACGTAACAAACATATCGTAACACCCATGATATTCTTTTATCTTTTATCATTTCATATTACATACCATATATAATACAATTAGTTATTTCCCGTAGTTTTGCCCGCGTGAATAATACATACATTCTATAAGTTAGGATATAACGTATTTGTATACCAAATTTTATTCTAATCTATTCATCCGTTTAGGCGTGATTAAGTATATAAACATTCAAGCATTCAATCAAATCGATGGTCGAAAGAACAAATAAGAAAAGTGAAATACTTAAATCAACTAAAACCTATTATAAAAAATATTATCAAGTTATAATAATTACGATTTGACTTTGCAAGAGAATCACACAAGAGTGAATGTACTTTTGTAGCGATGTATAGCGGCGTACCTATACACCTATAAACGTAATGTTCATCACATTATTGCTCACATCAACATTTCAGTCATCTCTCGTCCACTCCAGACTTTCACTAAATTGCAGCAACAAACAATCGTGACTCATACGCCCCTAGATAAGCGGCGAAATAATCCACCGATAGTTATGTTTTAATCAAACGCTTGCTAGATCTTGTTGTTTTGATGCGTTTTATCTTAACTATGTGGTAACAACTATTTATCGATAGATTCATATGTAACAGGGATTTACAACCATTATCATCATTAAAATAGTTTACTTCACCGTGAACGTTCAACAAGTGAACCATTCATTTACATAATTCATTACCCATTATCGAAGGAAGTCAATAAGTCTCGTACTTGCAAGTTGCAAGTGAAAGTTGCATAATAATATGCCGTGGCATCGTATTTACATTACAGTATTATGTCGTTTTAAAGAAGATAATTAGGCATTTATAGCAGGTAATAACTGAGTATATCTTATGAGAGTTATCGGATATTTGATGACAGTATACAAGTATATGGTAACTTTGTGTATCGAATGTAATGACGAATTCCTTATTTCCATACTAATATAATATTATAAATATGAAAGTAAGTTTGTTTGTTACCTCTTAGCACAACTCAGGGCCCTAATGGCTAATTCAATAAGAATTAAGGTTTAGAAATATCAAATTAGAAATTAAGGCGCTGAGTTGTGCTTATAAAATTTTATATATACTCGTACGTATTAAGTGGAATATATTTTATTCTGATCACAGAAATATATTCCGGTCGTGCAGATATGTCATGGATAACAGCTAGTTAATAATAATTGTAGGTATCTTTATTCTCCAAATTTTTACAGTTTTGTTTTAATATAAGAAATGGATATGTTCTTTTTTTTTTATTTTAATTTAGCATATAGAAACCATTCCAAACTATCTTCGATTATTGGTTTTGGTTACGAGCGAGTTTCTTAATTTTGAACGCTTCATCGAAGCAAATAGTCAGAAACTTAGTATCCTCTTTAAAGTTAGTTACTACAATTCTATAAAGCACAGGTTCAAATATCTATGGAGTACGCCTGTTACCTTTGGAATGTGAATGCAGATCTCTATTTTTTTTTACTATTGAATAGTAAAAAAAAATACAAAGTAGACTTAGGTTCGACTGCGCACAATGCATGGCTGATCTTCAATCAGTACGATTGCCAAGTCATTTGTTATTTGTCAGTGGTGTGTGATATGTGGTATGTTTAGGATTTTTTACTACTAGTATGTTACTGCGTAACATTTTTGCCATTTCTAAATAAAAGTCAAGTTTAAGGATGACAGTTTATAATACAATATAGTATCATAATCTATTTGTGACTTTAAGTATATAACTTGTTATTTCATAATAGTTAAATAAATGAAGATATGCAAGATTATATTTTGAGGTATTAGATACCTGCTTAAATACACCATTATCATTAGTATAAGTAGGTATAACATTAAATGTAAAGAATTATGTTATATAGGTTATTATGAAATGCTATATTTTACAATTCCGAGTAAACTACAATCAGTCGCAAAACACAGAATTTAGAACGATTTATTTTCATCTCAACATGTGTATTTTTAGATCCGGAGTCCTTATAACTAATTTAGTTGTATGTGATTTGTATTTCTAATTCTCTGACCATTCGTTCACCTTTTCGTCTATACGTCTCTTTGTGCATACACCTCTCCACTTGTTTAATTATTTTATTGTTATAATCTTTTTTTTTTTTTTTAGTATTATTGTTTGCAAATTTCTTATAATTGTGGAAGATAAAATGCTAGTGACTATTGCTCATTAAATGTATTAGCATTTTAAATCTAGAAACACAATGACATAGTGTTTTAGAGATAATTAAGTATGTTTCATAATTTCATACTTAAACAGATACACCGACAGATTATAACTTTATTCTATATTTTATGTCAGTCTTTTATGTGAGTCGTCAGTGATAACAGGGGCGCTATGGGTATGTTTCTCACGCATCCTACAATTTTTTTCCTTTTATTATGGCTCCATCAGGGCTCTGATGATCTTGCCATGTCAAGAATGTTTAATGTCAGTAATGTTTTGGAAGATTAAGCTTTGATTATTGTATTGAATTGATTAAAGAATATTGTAATTTGATCAATGATGCAGGAAGATTCCCTTATCCATGTTCGTTGAGTATGTATAACAGGGATTTTACCCAATCTGGTGATGTTTCAGCTAATATGACACAGGTTTTTCTTATGCAACTTATTTAGTAAATAACTGTAATACTTTCTTAACTGAATATATTATTGTATTTAATCTGAATATTATTACCATATATCTTATTTTTAAACGCCCAATTTCTAGCTTTACTTTTAATTATTTATTTATTTATCATTTTTAAGCAATTTACAAAAAAGGAGGTTCTCATTTTTTTTTCCCCAATAAGTTACGTGTTACGTTAATAATCTTCAACTGATATATATATATATATATATATATATATATATATATATATATATATATATATTAACACGAGATAAAACAGAATTAAGAAAATCAGTTCAAGATTGTTATTAACACGGAATATTCATCACTAATAATCACTACGTGATTTAAGAGACGACACTGCTGTTATATTAAAAAACTGGAAAATGAATCTGTGCTATCAGCTAAATGTAACAACTGAATAAAAAAATTAATATTTACAATATGACTAATTTCTAAAATGACTGTCTGAAGTATTAATATTGATAGGTATTATAAAAGAACTAATTACTTTACAGCGTAAATTTTCACCGTCAATAAATTGGATGCATAAATTTCATACAGACGTTTTTTGTTAAAGTGACGCTGATTTGATTAAAACAGCGGCAACTAAAAATTCGATGCAGCATAAAATAATAAGTTCAAATTTTATGTTCGATGAAACAAGCATAGTAAAAAAAGACAGTTAATAAAAAGGAGCTAGTACGTAAGTTTATTATTCGTAAACAATTTATTTTAAAAATTGAATTAAAATAAGCACCTCCTCAAAATTTTGACATGTAGTGAATAAGTGCAGATAAAAATAAATAAGAAAGAACACATAAGTGTATAAAAATATTACACAATATACTTAATATTTTTATTAACAAGTTTAATAATAATAAGTAAAAGTAACTAAACGAGTAATGTTATGATTTCCTACTAGGTTTGGAAAAGCTATGTATCCATGATTCTAAAGAAAATACGATTCCTAATTCTGTGATTCGAAGCCTCTTAAATTTAGGTATTCAAAATCACTTTTGTTGATATTATACTTGGATGAAGTGTATTATATTAATTATATTATATTTTACTACCAAAATTATAAATGGATACGATAGTACTAAGGATAGTAGATAGAAAATCATCAAATCTTATAAGCCTATGAATATAGGCTTATAAGATTTGATGATTTTTAATAATTTGTATTTATGATAAATTTAAAATATTATAAAGTACAGTACGTTAAGTTTCTTTCAAAGCGACTATAATTATTGATTTTTAAAAGGAATAAATGCGCTTTAGTGAAAATAAAAATATGCGAAAGTTATTAATTAGGATAAAGTAATTTAAAAATAATATATGAATAGAATTTCGCTATTGCAATAATACGCCTACAATACAAATGCTCAAGTGCCTTTTCGACCAATTATTTATCATAACAGCAATAGTCAACAATTTAAAGACGATCGCATAATAATAAAAAAAAGTCCCAATAGAAAAGTTTTGCTAATAAAAGTTTACCAACCGCAGTCGTTTTCGTCTCCATTTCGAAGAATCACATGTGTTTTGAACTGGCACTATTTGACTATTTTTAAGTAATATGTTATTATCATTTGGTATTCGTGCGCGTGCGCCGCAAATACGTCAGATGCAAGCGCGCGCAACTGAATGACTCGTTCCACCAACCGAACCGAGCCGACTCGAATCTGACGGCTTGCGTTCTTATACGTATCAACCATCTAATACTTGATGGTAAACGATAAAATTTAACAGAGTCGTAACATTATGACGCGATCACGAGATCTGACTTCGTTGGAGCATTGCCCCTTTTCAGGGAAATGGATTGTTAGTAATAGGAGATTATGGCTCCATTACTAGTAATTAGTAGTTTATCCTGTCAGGTCGACCTCCGCACGGTTCTCTCTGGAAACAAACATGGTTATTTCCTTACGAATTAATTGCAATAAACCGACTGAATACCCCGACTTTCCCCGATTTCTTCCTCATCTATCAAACGTCATTAGTAGCTCCCTTAGAAGTATAAACGCGATAGCGCAGGCAGGGTTATCATTCATTTTCATAAACATGTTCTTAAACATGTTCATAAAAAATGCTCCTGTCGAGCTGCACTGCTGGGTCTATTTTATATATATATATATATATATATATATATATATATATATATATATATATAAGATATGCTTACGGCCGTAATCCCTGACTAATCAGTTCTAATCAGTTCATAGTTATAGAAATTTTAATGTGACGATTAAATCTAATCTAAAAGCGCTAATTTAGTTTTTTTCTCAGTTTCATAATAAAAAAATATAACGTATACTTAGTAATTTACATCTTAATTCGGAATGCAGTCAGTATAAAAAGCCTCAAGAGTCTGAAGAAAGCCTATTCCGTATTTTCTCATTTTTTTTATTGGATGAAAATGGAATGGTAACCCCGCCTGTGCTAACGGGATACGCTGGCGGAGCACCAGTGAAGGGTGATCGATGAGAATGAAAACAGGCCAGTTAGCCCATCATGATAAATTCATCAGGAATTAACCATGATAGTTTCCAGGGGGAACCACGAGGAGGTCGACCTGGTTGGGTATATTGCTAGCAATGGGATTCTTAGTCTCCATTACTAACAATCCCTTCCCCCCCCCCGTATTTTCTCATAGGTGAATTATTTATTTAGGTATATAAATTCTCTATTTATCCGTGCCAATCATTTCATTTTTTAAATAACTTCCTTATATAACGGAAATGAGTTTAATAACTATTTTTGCCAGATCGTAGATGAATTATCAACTATTTTTCTTTCCCAACGTAATATTGTTTTAAATCTTGTCTTATGTCTTGTATGTTTATAATTAACTATGTACATTTTTTATTGTTATTTGTTGTGTTTTCAAAATAAAATAAAAATTTCTATTCCTATATTTCTATGATATTGTTTTTAGCTTTTTGACAATCAATTGTAATTTTTTGTACCTATCACGCTAGGTACTCTGACGTCATCCCCACCTATCATCCCATACTGGTATCGCCAGTATAAACTAATGGCACAAGCGGGATTACCATTCCATTTTGTCCATTTTAAAAGAAAAGTATTAAGTAAGGTTTTTAGAATTAAATCTATCTAAAAACCATATAATTTTTCAAAATCTCACAAACATTTCTCACAAAAATATTTTATTGAATCTACTGGTTTCGACATTTTGCGACTTAGTTATTTTACTTTCTAATGTTCGGTATTACTTATAACACATCTAAAAAAGTCTCTCAGATTTTGATTTTACCCTGCAGTTATCTTATTGTTTTACATTATATTTTAACAAAATGGATAGTGAAATTGAATTTTCTAGCCGATTTTATTAACAATCTAAATTGATTGATCTCACAATGTCTAATAAACTTACGTAAGCACCTATTATAATGTTGATAGCACAATACGAGTAAAAAATTAATTATTTATGGATAGTTTGAGATCATAACTTTTTAGAGAAATAGCATTTTCTAAAGAATCAGGTTTGTTTTGAAATTTTGCATAAAATTTTTGAAGTATCGTGATATTTAGTAGTAGAATATTAAAGAACATATACAAGAATACTGTGAATAAGCATATCAAACAGTTTTTTAATAAAATCTTTTAAAAAGGTTTTATTAGTAGAAAAAATATTACATTACTGTTCCATATCTCAGACTACATCATATTAAATACTGATGTACGAAATAATATCAACGGTAGGATTTTGTGTAAATAATAAAACATAAACTACAGAATATTTAATTACGTACTGTGTAGATACTAGATTGTAATTATAGATAGTTCGAATCAAGGGGCTTAGGTAGATAACAGATGTGATGAAAAAAATGTTCTTCTAATGAAATATTATATCTAGATTTTGGGGCTCCGTACCAAAAAGATACAATGAAACCCTTATGGTGCGACTTTGTCTATTTATCACAGTGCTATATCTCAGCAATTACTAAATGCTCTTGCGTTGAAATTAAGAATCGTTTTACATATTATTGGCCCATATACATAGAAATAGTTGAAAAAAAATCTCTTCTAAATGAATTTACTAGTCTAAGTAGCATATCATATAAAATAATTCCATTTATACATTTTAAAAATAAATTTATTTTGCAAGGTTTTTTAGTTATGGTCGAAAATGTGCCAAAAAACCATTTCCTCCCCCCTAATTTCAGAAGTTTCTGAAGCGAAAAGTTTGAAATAATAATGTTTTATAAAGGTATATATATGGTAAATATTACAAGAAAAATAAACGATGTTTTCAATTACCGAAGTATTTAAAAAAAAATTATATTAATAAATCAGGTAAATGTAAAGGTCCTGGTAACATGATTTAGAAGATTTTGCTCATGTATATATCTCTTGGAATTTTAGTGATTTTTGAAGCAACGCTGAGTAAACATATTTTTTTATAGAGAAAAAAAACAATTTTTAGACATAACATTATATACAAACATGTATATATATATTTATATTTATTTATTTTCAGAAGGTATTTTCCTAATTTAATCTACATATTTTGTTTCTTTTTATTTGTACTTGTTTTTGTTCATTTATTAAACTATTTTTTTATTTTGATTTTAACTGAATTACAGCAAGTGGAATTATATTATTTTATTATCTATACTTCTATAATTATTTTACTTAGGATAAACTAAAGTGAGTCCGCTCTGTGATTTTTTTTTTGTTTTCACAGAGTAGACTCACTTTTTTAAGACTTGTTTTTAAGACTAAACATCTATCTGTATAATTCAGGAATCAAAATGTATATCAAAGCCTTAATTGTTTAGAAGCAGAGGTCTAAAATCTCTGATTTTGCGTTGTTTTATGCAAAAAATGTGAAAGGCCTCTTAATATTGCAAATAAAAGGGTCAAATTTAGAGATGATTTTGAACACTAACTGAAGAAATCAGTTAATTTAATACCTATTGTTTCTAGTTATTTATGTTTCATATATTTATGCTATAACAAAAAGTAACAAAAACTAAAATACTTTACCTTTTTTTTACTTTCATCCATAAGTTCACTAATTTCAGCATCATTATCATGTTGAGATTGCATGATGTAAATTTCACTACAATGTGCACTAAAGCACTGTTCATATAGTATTATACACTGTGACACAATCTAAATAACACTATGTAGTGCACGTTACTGAAACGTTTGATAACGCGATAGGCAGTGATAACTACAGTTACACATACCTACCTTGAGAAAAACTCATGTGTTTAAGATCACTACAGCAAACAAATCAAAGCCGAGATAATAAATCAATTTGGATACAATTTGCGAAATTTTATGACACCTATTATTATTCTCTCATAAATACAAGACACAAGTAAAATTTTGATCACGAACAAAGTTGGAATTATGACAAAAAGTTCGATAATTGAAGTCCAGTTCGCATGGAACTGATAACTTCACGTCTATATAGGTACATATATTTTATATATATGTATTTTTACACTTAGGTAACCGAGGTCGACGTAGGCGAACGTATGTAGTGTGCTTCAGCGATGGACTACTGGTTGCAATAATCAGTTTTTTCAAACTGTAAATCTGTAGTTAGTTGTCTTTTCAATGGTCTTATTGTAAGATACAAAACATGCCAATCATGGTTAGCCATCATTACTATTAACGTTTACGGAGTGTGACGTAATGTCTATTTATACCAACGTATAATTTGAATGAAATAGATTCGCACGCAGTAGGTAGGTAAGTTTAATTGAAATCTTGGATCACGTGCGTAGACATTATTATGTAATTTTTAGAAGTGGATCTCATTTATCCAAATAGTAAACTAAGATTATCTATACACATATGCACTGATTATGTACTTATATGATTCTATAACAACAATACTCTGGGTTCTCTGTCTTTCATAGAATTACTGTTACATAAGACATGAACCGCAACTTTGTAATTTACAGTATGTGACGAGCAAGTGTAATACTAGTATGTCATAATCAGCATGTGATATATAAAGCTAATAGATGACTAGCTTATTTAATAGCATCTAAAACATGCTTCTTATTAAAAAAAAATCCTCTAGTTTTTAAATTACTCAAATCTATGAACAAATTTTGTGTCTTGCGTCAAGAAGTTGTCATGCATTGTGTTAGGTCTAAAGCGTAAGTGCAAATTGTAAAGAAAATTTAATGATCTTTTTTAATAGAACGTAATGGACATAGAAACAAACTACTAATTGACCCGCCCATAAAACATTCTGCTGATGTCAAATAGTAATAGATACTTATCAAACATCAATGAATTGACTGAATATTTAGATTTCTTACTAAATTAATTTAGAGAGTGTTTCTGTGACCATTTTACCAATACTTGATTGCCTAAAAATGTAGTCTAAAAATTATGAGAATTATCTACTTATAGCTTAATATTCTTAGAGTATACTTACCTTTCAAGTACAACAACAACAAATTGAATATCTCATTTAGACATAAAGCACCTGTCTATCTAAGTAGCGAGTGTGTGTATCTAAGTAGCAAAAGTAATGTCGAAAGAATAAACTGAAATAATAATACCTACTTTAAAGTGTCCTATCAAAATAGAAACTAGTTTAACACCCCCAAATTTTAAAATATAAGCAAAGCCGATATAAATATTTACAAATAAATAGTGATTTATGTTCCATAGCACCAAAAGTCCGTCAAAAAGTCCGTCCGTCCTCCGTCTAGTCAAAAATCAAGCACAATTGTTGTCCTAAAATATTTTTACACAAATATTTTACCTGGGGACTTTTTTTATGGAGTAGTTACTGAGCTCACAGTAATCAATAATTGAAGCAATATATTTAATCAGTACCACAAAAATATTTATTCTTATGCCATTACAGCAACCTAATAATTTAATTCTCTACGATACAACCTATTGTAAAAAGTAAATTATTAGTTATCTACTTAGTGCCTATAGTATTTTTATCATTATTATTTCAGCCGTTAACTACCTACTGCTTCCTCATAAAGGGAATTTGCCAGTAGTTGCCAAGCTTAGCCGGCGGGTTGGCAACCGCAGTTAGGCTTTTAGAGATTTTTTTTAATGGGTGATAATGGAATGGTATCCCCACCCGCGCTATCGGTATACACCGGTAGGGCACCAGTGAAGAATGATAGATGAGGATGAAGTAGGTCAGTTAGCCCATCATGACGAATTCAACAAGAATTGTTAACGATGGTTTCCAGGGAGAACCACGTGGAGGTCGACCTGATAGGGCATATTGCTAGCAATGGGGCTGTCAAACTCCATTGCTAACAATCCCTTTCCCCCCGGCTTTTAGAGATGTTTGAAGAGTGACGCTGCTGCCCATCCCTCGCTCTCCCTTAGTCACCTCTTGCGACACCCACGGGAAAAGAAATAGTTGCCCGTTCTATACCGGAGCACACACGGAGAGATGTACCCACAGTACATTTAAACCCATTTTTAATCATTTTCTTTTCATCACAATTTATTAGCAGAAATTACTTTACGAGGACTATATTTATTACTAGCGGCCCGTCCCGGCTTCGCACGGGTGGACATTTTTACATTTTAAAAAGTGGCCATTAAGGCTGTACACGCGACGGAAGCTTAAAAATGGAGTAACTTCTCCCGTTTTCCCAATATTTCCCTTCACTGCTCTGCTCCTATTGATCGTAGCGTAATGAAAAGTATACTATAACCTGCCCAGGAGTATGAAAAATAATTGTACCAAGTTTCGTTAAAATCCGTCGAGTAGTTTTTGTTTCTATAACGAACATACAGACAGACAGACTAAAATTTTACTGATTGCATTTTGGCCATTAGTATCAATCACAAATCACCCCCTGATAGTTATTTTTGAAATATATTTCATGTAAAGAATTGACTTCTCTACAGATTTATTATAAGTATAGATAGATGATGATAGGTGAACATGAACATAGGTTCCAGAGAATTCATTAAAAATTTATCAAGCTTGTTTCCAGGGAAATTCCGTGGAGGTTGACTTATATAGAATAGTGTTATGAACAATGAAATCATAAGTCAATCTTTTCCTCATCTTACATCTATATATAAATTTAAGCTTGTCTGTGGTGGCAAGTACCACAGTACCATGGTAGGTAGCTACTATTCCTACTTGTCCAAATTTACCAAGAATAAGGCTTTTACCAATTTAAAAAGGGAATACCAAAATTAATTAACAATAGCTTTATTAACTGAAATTATATTTTGAGCCATATCAATTAAAAATATAATAAATTATCTAGTACAGCATATTAAGATATATGACCATAATTAGAAACTGATGTAACTGCCATGTGTTGCATTACCATGTTTGCAATCTTTTTGTTTGATCCCAATCTGTCATTTCTATTGATAGATATGTTGATAAATGGCGATATGATTGCAAACAGAATATATAAATATTAGATGACATTTTATGGCAACTTATTAACTTTACTAAAGTTCCCAATACATTACCAACTGACTGGGCCCACAATATGCTTATGAGGTGTATAAGCGCTCCTTTCTTTTTCTTCACACCATCCAACGACCTGTTTTGCATTATTAAACTGCTTGTAATAGATATTATATTTTATGAACAATAATAACAGCAGGCTTTTCTCGGCGCAGCTGGTATAAGTTTCGTCGGGTAAGTCTGTGTATGAACTGTTTTCTTCATGAAGGGATTCAGTGGTTCGCAAATAGCCTGATGTTTTACCTCCATATTGATTTTAGCATACTTGTCTCCTTTTTCTTCTTCTTTTCTAATCAGTATGAAGTACGGACGAAAGTCATTAGAGTACATTTTTAATTATATTATTTAACTTTTTTTACAAAATAATGTTTATGAATTTTTAATAAGACCTAAATGGTCTATATTTTTCTTCTCATGACTTCTGTCAGCTTTTTTTTAATTACGAGATTATGGACAAAAGGACACTTCAAATAGGTCTTTATTAATTTAAGAGTAAAATGAATTCTTGTATAAATCTCTTTTTTTGCAACTCTTAAAAATAAGATTGCGAGAGTTCGAATCTCATCGCCTTGACCGAACATAATCATATACAAAGCAAATTATAATATTACAAATGAAATAAATATGACATTTTTGAGAAAGCCCGTGCCTGTTTAATAAACTGTGACTTTTAATTTTGATCTATCAATGTGAACTTCGTAATAAACCCCCTGTTATTATGATTAAAGACAAACTTTAAGAACTGTTGATGCATTTAGCTTGAGGTGAGACTTTGCTTCCCTTTATGTCTTCTACCCCTTATATAAGAATATAAGAACTGTCTATAATACATAATCTTTTTATTATATATCGCATCAAATTCCAATAAAATACTATGATCTATACACATGAACTGCATCACTGATCTTACAAACTATACCGTGTGGCTCATGAGCCGAACAATAGACTTAGCAGTTATACCTCCGCACCCAATAATTTCATTGTCATATTTTACATATCCTATGAGATAACACGACTGAGATAACGGTACCCATATAAACATCTTTGTACAAATAATGCATATTATAAATACTTTAGACTATTGCATTTTCTTGAGGTGAGATGATAAATATACCGACCTTAAACTCTATAATCTCTTCTACATTGTAGTAGAAAATATTACGAATACAGTAACGTTCTATTGATCGATACTTTAGCCTACCCAAGTATTATAAAAGATTATAATGTATTTGAATGATGTTAACGAGGTAACCGCACTATATGTAGTTATGTAGCCCCGAAAAATAGGGAAAAACAATACACACTGTCAGATCGAACTCCACGAAACCACTGTGATTTATTCTTAGCAAATATTATTATCATATAATTAACATTAACATAGACTGATGCATAATTCTATTTTCATTCATAAAAAAAAATCTCCAAAAAATGGCAAATTGTGTTTCTTTTTGCAGCATAGCTATATATTCCGTTATTATTTATTTATTAGGGACTTCGTTGCATAGCGCCTTTCCGTGCATTTTGGAAAATTTTCCATGTTTTAACGGGGACATCTATTTAAAAGTATGAATTTAAATATTGTAATAATTGTTGTGTGGTTCAAATAGTTAGTGTGGAAGTTGCCTACACTAACTATTGGACTAAGGGACTAAATATATAGACTAGGACTAAATATTATATATTGACCAAAACAAATCATGTTTGTATTACGTAGCCAATCCATAACCTGGTTCGTTGAAAAGCGAAGCAGTACCTATGTTAAACTACAACATCGCCAAGGTCGTCACTTATAATATCACGTCACATATAAATTTAAAACGGATTTTCCTCATTCATCTGTTTTTCAAGTGAGAATTCCTGACATATGATGCGCAGTAACAGTTTTGAGGTGGACTATAGTCAGTCATCAAATAATAATAATTGTCCTTCGAAGCCAAAATCTGAATTTGATACTACTGGTGTGAGGGCGTCACCCTTTGGTATTAGATTTTATGATCACTTTCATTATACACGTAGATCTCTAACGTAGACGTGGCTTAACGGACGATGACTTTACCTGCCATCTGAAGTACAAAACAAATGGCAATAAATTTACTTATATGCTACAGTCTATAAATCTCTACTATAGGTATATACTCATTTACACGTCACCTACCTTCATAGCATGGGGGGAAAGGAATTGTTAGTAATGGGATCTAACTGACCCATTGCTAACAATACATCCTATTAGGTCTACCTCCACGTAATTCTGACCTTGATTCTCTCCACTGGCCTGCTTTCATCGTCGCCTATCATCCCTCACTGGTGCCCCGCCACCGTTTACCGATAGTGACCTAATAGGACATATTGCTAGCAATGGGGTTATCAAACTCCATTGCTAAGAATCCCTCTCCCCCTGACCCCGATAATGCCTAATATAATGCAGGTAGCTGTTAGTAACAGTATTAAAACGAATTGTATACGTTTTAAATAATTTTAATTGTGTCTGCATCGGGCGCATACTGTAGTAGACGTAGTGTGAAACATTTGTTTCAACTGTCGTAACAACTTTTCATAATTGTCTTTGTTTTTCAATAGTTTACTGGTACTCAGTTGTGATACGACCTTTTGAATTTGGGGTGCTAATGTTGTCAAAACCTTCACTCCACGTTCGTCATGAATCATATTTTGATGCTGAACACCACGACGAGCCTGCCATGTAATAATTTTAATATTATTTGCATAACTTTGCCTATACTAGTTAATAAGTAACTTTTTATACTGGTTAATTTATACGGGCCATACTTCGTAATTTATTTCTACCAGGTTAAAATAATAATATCTTAATGTGAATTTATTTGTTTTCGGTAAAATTCTATTTTTAATTTATTTCTCTCTTAATATGGCGATGTGCTATTTATCAGGCGATGAATGTACTTTCTCTTGGGCACTGCAACTTTCAGAAATCTTTCTTGCAGTTCTCCTTGCGAATTGTGAGCAGCACATATGGTACACTGGAAATAGATATATTTGGGAAACTACAGACCTATATTTAAGAAATTAAATTAAATTTAAGAAAATAGAATTAATATTAAGAAACAAGAGTTAGAACATAACACCAGGCAGATTTTTTTTTCGAATATAATCGAGCAACCAGACATTGCTTTTTGTAGCACTTGAGAATCGCTACATTGCGCGTAAGTGAATAATACTACATATTTTATTAAGGTTTCCTGTTTTAAGAGTCTACTCCACTTTGAACTACGGAGAAAATTTAACTTTTTTTATTAAAAATATCTAGAGTATTTTTAAAAATAGAATGTATCTTTTGTATTTCATCTGAAATTGTAACATGGAGTGAATGTACCGTTCTCAAGTTTTGATGTACAGAATGAAGCGGTTTCCGGCACGGTGCCTGGGTAAAGAAAATATTTTTGTAGTAAGCCGGAGATATGAATGCAGTGTAACAGTTTAGCAGCAGGTAAATACCTAATTTATATGGATAGATACATATAATACAAGATTTTATTTCATTAAGACTAAATCAAATATTAGTAGTTTTAGTATTAGAAGAGTGAAAACACAGATTTATAGGTTCCCAAGAGACTACAGCACGGGGTTCTTCAAAAGGGGCGTAAAGAGGTTTCTTCAGGGTCGGCAACGCGCGCGTAATACCTCTGGTATTGCAGGTGTTCATAGGCTACGGTGACCACTTACCATCAAGTGGGCCGTATGCTGTTTGCCACCTCAGTGGTATAAAAAAAAATTTATAGATGAGTTATTTATTTGTTTTTAATCTTAAAAGTATTTTTTAACGACGAGTTTTATTGCTCAACCCCACTCAAAATCCCCGTAATATGGATATTACACAACTAATAGACGTAATTAAATATATTTTCTGGAAATACATAGAACAATGAAAATATAATACTGCTGAACATAGGCCTCCTTGGGGAATTTTGCTAGTAGTTGCCACGTTTGGTTTTGGTTGAGATAAGATGTTTTAAGAGGGACGATGCTGCCCATCCCTTGATCTTTAAGTTCCTTTAACCACCTCTTACAACACCTACGGGAAAAGCAAGGAAAATGTAGATTTCACAGCTAAGTTTCTGAAGGTCGTTCTTAAAATCTCATGTATATTTTATCTTAATACGTCGTCTATGAATGATAAAATCAACACGTACGAAGTCGCAGACAATTCCAATTACACGATTAATCTAATGCATTAAAAACTATACTGAGAGATTGTTTTACTTACAGCATTTACAATATAAATCATAAAGAAAAATACGACAAAAATATAGAATAGTTGGCCAAGTACTTTCATCGTGTTAATATAGCACAGTACCTACTTTTTATATTTCTATTACATGAAATGTACTACATAAAATTATAACCGCAATTTCTACAGCTCTAAAACAACTGTAAATCATGTAAGCAATTACAATTTATGGTTTTGTTCTGTTTCACAATGAAATTTTGTATAAAATGTGTTATTCTCCAAAGTAGGCTCCCTTAACCCTTTTAGTGCCATTGATTTTTACTCATATCTACTTAAAAATGCCAAAGAAATCTTTGTCGTGTTGATGTCATTTACCCTTGTCTCTAAAAAAAAACCTCCAAAAATTATCTAATTTTAATATTTTTTTACAGCAAGCTAAACAGCGACTGATTTCACGAGCGCTATGACGCTCGTGGCACTCAAAGGGTTAAGATCTGATAGGTACTATTATACCTAATTTACGGCATATGCCTACCTCCACGATCCTCCATGCTAACCATCGTAGTTAATATCTGATGAATTCCTTACGATAGGTTAAGCAACTATTGGTACCTATCCAACGTTTACAGATAGCGCCTTTTATCCTCAAGCATAATGGTATTCATACGACATGACATACGGTCGAATATTACTCATGCCATGGACATGAAAATTAAAAAGGACAAATAAAGCAAAATAAAGGAATTGCATGTGGATTTCTTTACTATTATAGTATATTGTAACGATATAATAGAGCCGTGCTGCAATAGAGTGGATCGTCAACTTATTTATCATACCAAGCGTCATAAAAAAAAGGTCTACTAATTTCAATTGGGTACCTCTGTCCGATTCGTATTTTAACCGTGAAGCAGTTGTGTTTGCATGGCTGTGTTTCGGTTTGAAGGGTGAATTTACAGGGTACAGAGGAATAACACCTGAGTCCTCAGGAATGGCAACGCATGGGGGGTATCATGGGCGAAACAGTATACTTTGTTATGTCCATGGTACTGCTCATGACTATAGGCGACGGTTACCACTTTCCATCACGTGGGACGACAGCTTGTTTGCCATTCTAAGTTGTATATTAAAGATGTAATGTCAAAATGTTCATATTAGGTAATTTCGTGTGCGAATTACATCTCTCGATCATGTGGGATTTCTAAAAACCGTCCCTTAATGTCTTCCTAGAAAGGTGAAAGTTGAATTTTATATGAGTTCATCATTTTTGAACTTGAAATTTATTAGGTTCAGCCATTTGATGTTTAACTAAGAAATAATTGTTTCAGCAATAAAATAATCATCCCTTGACGGGTTGAGTTTGTATCGTTATTATTAGTGAATATTGAAAAAGATGGCGTGCCAATATAACTTGGATAATATATGACAATTGCATTATTTACAAATATATGATAGCGATTTATAGAAAATATTGTATAATATCGACTTCTACTGTGAAACTACATTATTATAGTTAAATATATTTTAATATGAACTTTTTACAGAAATATCAAATGACAACATGGAATAACTATAATATTCTCCAGCTATACAAAAGCTTTCACAGATTTATATCTGAATGTAATAGATATGTTCATCACAGACCATGTGTATCTTAAAAGTAATCTTGATAGACCAAGATGGTCACGCAAACAGAGTCGCAGGTGAAATTAGTGTAATTAAATTCTTAAAATCATCTAAATCAATTGAGTTCAACTATGTTGAAGGGTACACAGGTGGTATATAGGTATATTGATGGAATCTGTTCATGGTATTATTTGGTGGATTCAGACATGTAGCCAGGCACTCAGCGCGAGACTCGAAATTGTTCTGGTTACCACTGCAACCAGAATACAATCGGCGTTTACATGTTCTGGAAAGGAGAAAATATAACATTACCATTAATTTTACTTCTGTTTTGATGGCAATAAAAAAACAACAACTAAGAGTGAAACGCTCCAGCACCGCTGATCTCATACAAAAAAAAAAGATAAATTTGATAAATTTTTTGTGATGTAACTACAAATTTACGATTTTTGTATTTTTCCCTTTTATTTGTTTTGTACGACATTGCTTCTTACCAAATTTCATGATCCTAGGTCAACAGGAAATACCTTATAAATTCTGATTCCATTTCAAATGCCAAGATATATACTATAAATGGCCCTATCTTTTGATTGTTAACATAGAAGGTTAATTTTTTCATAGCTTCAAGGTATTGAAGACTCAACTACGGATATTAATTTCAGACCTCCATCCGTTCCTGAGTAAAAGGGCTATGACAAATGGATTTTATATATAAACATATATAAATAACCCTGCCAGATCAACCTACACACAGTTCCCCCTAGAAACCTTCATGGTAAATTCTTATATAGTTCATCATGTTGGGCTAACTGATATGCTTTCATCTTTATCTATTATGCTTTACTTACCCTGCAAACATACATCAATAGCACAGGTGGGTTGTCATTCCATTATCACCCATTAAAAAAAGAACCTCTCATAAACCTATTTTAGCTATTGAAGTGCTTAATCCTTTTCTTTTGCACCAATTTCTCAATATGAAAAACAGTGGGACAACACTTTAATAATTAAAATAAGTTTGTAGAATGTTTTAGTTTTTAGCTAAGAGAGCTAAAATTTAAGGAATGGATATCACAGATTACATACAAACATTTTTTTGCTTGGCCAAACACCAGGCTAAGTGACATTGGCCTGGTGTCTCAATGATTACAGGTGATAGATGTTGATGCACAACTAATATACATTATACAAAGACTTACTTAGCATATTTATCCCAAGCCCAGCGGTTGAAATATCCAAAGCAGTTTCCATATTCAAATGACAGATCTCATCAATCATATTTAATTATAGATTCATAACAAATCCTTATATTAAAAATATAAGAAAAATTCTGTTTCATTTTGGTGATCTAAAAAAAGAATTCCCTTGTTTATATACTATTTGGATTAAAGCGATGAGTGTATAACCAAGGAAAAAGAGACAGCACTTAATATAAGCCACGTAAAATGACTTGGTCAGGAATATCTAACCAAACTACACAGGGGAGAAAGGGATTGTTAGTAATGGAGACTGAGAATCCCATTGCTAGCAATATACCCAACCAGGTCGACCTCCTCGCGGTTCTCCCTGGAAACTATCTTGGTTAATTCCTGATGAATTCATCATGATAGGCTAACTGGTCTCTTTCCGTTCTCATCTATCACCCTTCACTGGTGCTCCGCCACCGTATCCCGTTACCGCAGACGGGGTTACCATACCATTTTCACCCATCAAAAAACCAAATTACACAAAATTCTCCTTTTCTTATTATGTTAGCTAACCTGATGGTCAAAATGGAAACGAATAGGGCTATAATAATACTTTAGTTAGATACCTTTTCGATATGAATAAAATGTAAATATTTCTTACAGAAACGCGAATTGTGTGATATAAGAAATATATAAATATTATGTCAAATTGCTCGTTCCGATTAATATTTTTTTTAGTAAAAATAAAACGGATAACTTTATTAAATGTATTTATTATTTAGTATAATATTACTTATAATATTATTAAAATCTTAGTTTCCTAATATTATTGACAGTAAACACAAGTTTTCCCCACTTCCCGTAATATCTGGTCAGTTTCTAGAGTAGATCTCGTAACAGAGTCAATATTAATTGTATATTGTCCTAATTCCCACGTCAAAATAAAAAGAAATATGAAATACAAAACTAAAACTCTTCCACGCAGAGTTTAGATTGCAGCCATTTGCATCGCATTTGACATACGCAGTAGTTCTGTTAGTTAAGTTGGCACTATTGTAATTAAGTCATTTAACTAAATGTTGGCAAGATGTTTTCTGACCAAATCCATACATTAAAATGCTAGAATAGAAATTACTTTTAACGATATCCACAGAATAAATATAATAAATATTTTAATTGATTAATAATTTGAAATAGTATATGTTGCTTAGATTTTTTTATGCGTTTAGTATGTGTTGCTTAGACTTGTCTTTATTTAATTTTTCATCCTATTTTGACTTAAAATCGAAAAAGCACTCTAATGTTCAATCAAAAATTCTCGCGTCAAAATATTAGATTTTTTTAAAGAAGTGGGTAGGCTTTTTGCTCGTTGAAATGTCTACTTTCTGATGCTAAAATAATACACTACTATGGTAAATGTTCACAGAAAAGCCAAAGAAACGAAAAAAAAATCTCTAATCCAAAATTTTTTATCATTATGTACAATTATGAGCTATTTATTCAAATTTACACTTTAATGTATCTTACGTTTTTCGAGTAATTATCGATAATAGTGTTGTGCTACTATATCGATATTTCTGTTCTAGATTTAAGATTTAGTATAATAAAGTTAAATTTAGACATTTTTAACAATAAAAAACATTATAATATAAATAAATCTTTATTTAAATAATATTTATACATACATTTGATGAGATGTAAATATTTTTTTTTATTGGATGAACATGGAGTGGTAACCTCGCCTGCGCTAATGAGATACGCTGGCGGGGCACCAGTGAAGGGTGATCAATGAGGATGAAAACAGGCCAGTTAGCCCATCATGATGAATTCAATGCCCATCATCACGAATTAATCATGATAGTTTCCAGGAGGAATCGCGAAGAGGTTAACCTGGTTGGATATATTGCTAGCAATGGGATTCTTAGTCTCCATTACTAACAATATCTTTTCCCCCGATGTAAATCATTTAGATATTCTATTAATGTACAATGTAAAGGTACAATGACTACAATTAGCATTTATAGATATTACGTACATTATTACTTAAGTTCAGAAGTTGCTGCTAAAGACCAGCACATTACCGTGCTTGTGGACTATCGTAGTTCCTCCAGTGCTGAACACAGATCTGAAATATTAAAGTTTCATCTTTAGTAAAACTTTTCTTCTTCAAACATCAAACATTCATTATCATTTTCACTATTTATATAAATTCATATGTATTATATAATATAGTAAATACTTAGATTTAAAAATAATTAATAAACTATACTATATAATTATACTTACTGGCAATGATATTAGTCGTCTTAACCCTTTACCATTCCTGAAAGTTCTGCTAAAGATATTGTAATAAATTTTGGTATATAGATTATTTTCTTTTTCAATTTGACATGGTTTTATTTTCTGAAAATTTTCCCCTATCAATAAAAAAAAAATTCCATTGTCTGATAAAGGACAAATATCCCTATTGAGTGTTAATGAATACAATAAAAATTCATACCAATCAAACAAATTTTCAATTAAGTACTAAATATTATATTTACTAACACGAAATCAGTTTTAAAAATAGGAACTCAGTGGTAGCTGCTAGTGCTTCATTAGTGACACATCTGTGTGAAAATATTCCCAGCAAAGTGTTACAGAAAGGCTGATTTTTTAAATTTTGCATTCATATCTACTCCGTTTCTCTTCAAACCTGGTATTACAAAATCTGTAACTTTTAGCATTATCATTAAGTTTCGGGAAATGCTTACCAACTTCTGCTAGTCTTATCTAAATTACCTCCTTTTTTATTTTTAAACATAACCAGTTTCTTCTAATGGAAAGTATAATTATTCCTCTAACTAATCACAGTCTGAATATTCGGTGAGAATTGTAACAATTTACATGGCCACATAAATACAAGATATATGAATTTATCATTGCTGCCTCTAACATAAACTAATTTCATCCAGGATATCTTAGATTTGCGACTAATAGAACAAAACGACCTATAATAGTCAAATTTATCAACACCGCCCATATTTTGCATATAATTCACTATAGGCAATGGGCAGAATAACTTTTTTTTGATACATCTTTTGTTTCCTCTATATTTCTGCAACTTCTTCAGGGTTATCAGCACTAGTCAATACCTGGACATCTTTTGTATGTATTCATTTAACATAAAATAATGGACTTGAATGTTTAAATATAAATTCACCAATCTTTAGTTTGGGCCCAGTACATTTATTTCTTTCTTATTTTGACAGACCTTTTCTATTTGATGTTATAGTACCAGTAGAATAGATACCTCTATTATAGAGAGCCTGAAATAAGGGCACACTTGTGTAGAAGTTGTCAAATGTAACTAGTATATCAGCAGAAACATTTCTGCAAAATTTTGTCACACCATTATAAGCTTAGCCCTCTTCCAATGCTGGTGATGGATGAGCTTTACCTACAAATATATCAAATTCATGTAAGTGCCCTGAATGAGAATCACACCTTGCCCAAACTTTATACCCTCATTTTATAGACTTTTACAGCATATATTTTTTCATAACACTGTCTGACTGACTATTACTGAACACAGTTCCCTTGAAATGATTGATTCAGTATAGTCAACATGAGTCTAATTTTATTCAGGTAGTCAAAGTTAAGCTTTCCATACTTGCCTGTAGTAGTGTAATCATTGAGATATAAATATTGTAATTTTTTTTTTCTTCGTAGAGACAACTTTTCTTATTTCATTATTTTTGAAAAAGAAATCTGTGGACTAATACAATTTATATCTGGTTGGGGGTATATATCCATTATTATAACTATTCTAATTATTGTTTCAGCCTTTAACTGTCCACTACTCAATATAAGCCTTCCCATAGGGGGATTGCGGAACATAAGCCTTCCTGATAAGGGGAGTTTTGCTAGTAGTTGCCATGCTTGGCAAGCGCAGTTATGCTTTTACAGATGTTTTAAGGGGGACGCTGCTGCCCATCCCTCTACCATAACCTCCCTTAGTCACCTCTAACGACATCCATGGAAAAGGAGGAGGTGGCCCATTCTATGCCGGGATCCACATGACGAATAACTATTCCAATAAATGCAACATATTTCTGCTCCATATGTTTCAATTCAATCAGTTGCATTATTATGTAAGGCATATAAATTTGTGTTATTAATAATATATAGAATTAATTGTTCTGGGAACATATCTTAGAAATAATCAATTGTATTTTCTGTGTCTGTTCTATGAGTATATATTTTTGTTGGAGTCATCTCATCATTAAATGTAGGAATTGAGTGGTTTGTAACTTTATTAGACCAGTTGTGAGGAGTTTGTAAAGAACCAAAGGGTTGCTTGCTCGCAGGAAATGGCTGAGGTTCTGTCACCGATTCTTTTATAAGATCTAGAGAGTTATTGGCTCCTAAGCTTGCTCCAGGGATTGTTTCCTTCAACTGCAGTCCTTGAATAATATTTGATTGAGATGTTTCCTTAATGGGCTGACCTATATCTGAAGGCGGTGGAATTTGTTTTCCGAGCAAAGCATTTTCTACATCAGCAACAGTTTCATAAATTTGTTCAGTACAATCTAGGGCTTGATTTATGTCCAGTCTTTTATAATCTCTGTTAGTAATTTGTTTATCATCACCATCATTATCCTCATCGGACAAGTTAAACATTTCTGCTAACGCAACTTCTATTTCAGCTAATTGCAATGATGTTTTCTGAAAACAAAAAAAAACAACGTTTATGTAAAGAAAATAAAATTCTTGACAAAAGCGCGTAAAAATTATAGTGAACTAACGGACGATAGGTATACAGTTACCCACATACTTTAGTATCATTTTTATATTACAAGATATCTATTATTTACAAATCTGTTTTAATATTTAATAAACTAATATAAACAGCGTCAAATTATTTATAATCATTTACTTAAACTCACCTGATTTTTAGATGTCATAGCAATAATTTTTTTAAATTCACCAAATTTTTAATAAGAAAACAACAAACTAAAGAAACTTAAATAATTATCAATCAAAAACCAAATGTCAAAAAGTGTTAGAAAAAACCATAGACAATTATATATTTTTAAAATTTGTCATTTTGTGGGTTCTCAAAACCAATGTTCGATTAATAAATACTTTTTTATGTGGGATGAATTTCACTCTTTGATTAGTTAAGGGTTAAAAGACTTATGTCCATCAATAGTAGTTTATTCATAACATTATGAATAAATTTTATTAAACCAGTAATAACCATACATACATATTGATAAAGAAACAAAGTGAATAATTATACATAAAATTTATTATCCTAATTTTTGTTATAATCAATAAGTATATTATATTTTGATTTGGTATATAACGGAAGACGTCATATTTAAAAATTATGAGCACAGATTATGGCACATAGATATTACCTATGTCATTTTGTATGATGAGAATATTCAATACAAGTAAATATTTGTTCTGAATAAGAATTATTTATTATAAGATTTTAATTTGACAGACATAATTTACCTTATGTTATTTTTAATCAATATTTCGATAAAATACGGAAAATTATATTTGTATCTATATAGCATTTCGGTCCTTTGCATGAGAAAGAAATGACCAACTTTATAACAAATAATCTTTGGACCAATCACTTTTGTTGAGCTCTTTTCCACAGCTTAAATTACTACGGTTCTGTCTAAGAACAAGATTCTATCGTTTGTATGGCAGTTTTAGGGGCTTGTAGAAATATTACAATAGAAACGATTAAGAGCTCAATGGAGAAATTGTCTACCTACAATTTCTCCAAGGTTGTCAATTTCTATTACTATTATTTTTTATATTAATTTCATTTTGTAAAGAAAAAAATAAAGTGCTACCAGGTAGACAAGTCATAAATGAATATGTAACCATAATTAGATAAGCTTACTTAAGTTTTCTGATGTTAATAAAAAATTGGAATTAGTAAAATATTTAACAATATATGATACGTATTTACAATATTATAAACTGTCTATTTTCCTTTAGTGATTCCTTCCCAGTAACAAGTTCATAAAAAAATGCAATATTTAATTAAATGTCAACGTATCTGTTACGAATTTATTTACTACTAGATATACAAACTAAAATTTATGTCAGTGATTTCATGTGGCACTTTTGTATATAATCAGTTAGAAATGGAATATTAGTTTGGATTTACTTATCAAAATAGGTATTTCTAAATGTCTAAGTAATAATTACAGAATCTACATAATTATGCTATTTTAATGGGACAGCATTTGCCAATTTTTAGACAAATTGGCACGAAAAATAACGATATATCGTTACTTTTTATCCTATATTCAGGGTGAATAGAAACAACTTACATTTTCATGTTTCTTTTAAATAAAGCTTATAACTAACTTATAACGTATTGAACATATTAAATTAATCTTGAGCTTTATAATAAATATATTTATATCTCATGTTAATTCAGAAAAATATAAAATTAAAAAAAGGTAATAAATGTATGTTATTCACCCCGTTTTAAGTATTTTGTAGTAATTACAATTGCGCGGACAACGGTACCATCAGTATGTCAAGTCGATTCGAGTTACAAAATTATTGTCAATGCTATTTAATTCTTAGATTTGACATCTGTCATAGAACAAATGTGCAGCAAATTTAGCGTTACAATTAGCCGAGCTAATCCTAATAACTTAATTATCCGGTTATAGCAGATTAGTCAGTTATATGGATGTAATAGCTGGCTATTTGATTATTCAGCTATTGTATAAATGACTTACCAGCCCAATAACGTAATACTTAGCGATAGCTAGTTGACTCCAGTTACATTACATCAAATGCAATCATCAACGCAGTAACATATAAGTTAGATGATAGGATTTTGCTTTTTTTTTTATTCAACGAAGTACTTTGTAGATATTAGTATATCCATTAGTAAAGCAAACGCTTAATTTTGTCCAATGTTGTATCAACCATAATCGAACAGATCAACTCAAAATCTAAGTTCATAGATCATAGATGTCGCCTAATATTGTTGATAATATCAATTTTTGGTAATATTTATCGATGATATTGACGAAATTAAGATATGTTTTTATTAATAAATATATCTACCTAATATTGTAATGACTGCGAAGTAGTTCCTTGAATAAAAGTAATAAAAAAAAAAATTAAGTCGCAATATTGAATCTTCAAACTTATTTATTACTGCAGTGAGGATCGAACTCAATGCAAGTAATTATTATTAGTTGAATATATATAATAATAAGTTATTGGTTATTGGTATACGTTATCAGTTCGGGCGTTTACAACTAGCTACGACAACTAGCACTGCTATCGATAGCCGATGTAGCTACCTTAGATAGTGGGTAAACGTAAATGGCAGTTAGTGGACGCTCGAGGATGGCTACAACCAATAGCTGGTGGGGGGAAAGGGATTGTTAGTAATGGAGAATAAAAATCCCATTGCTAGCAATATACCCAACCAGGTCGACCTCCTCTCGGTTCCCCCTGGAAACTATCATGGTTAATTCCTGATGAATTTATCATGATGGGCTAACTGGCCTGTTTTCATTCTCATCGATCATCTTTCACTGGTGCTTCGCCAGATTTCCGTTAGCGCAGGTTACCATTTCATTTTCATCAATTAAAAAATAAAAAAACCAATAGCTGGTTACGTCGACGACACATAACTGGCTATTGTTTGTTTGTTGTTGGATAATAATGGATTGGTAATCCCGCCTACAATAACGGTATACGCTAGCGGCGCACCAGTGAGGGCTGATACGTGAGAATGAAAAAGCAAGTCAGTTACTCCATCGTGGTGAATACACATGGAAATTAGCACGATGGTTTCCAGGGGTCCCCACGGGGAGATCGCCCTGTTAGAGTATATTGTTAGCAATGAGAGTGGTAATCCGCATTACTAACAATTCCTCCCCCCCCCCATATCATCACTATTTAAATATTATAGATATACTACACATATATCATAGATGTACTACTAGATATACCTATGCGATAAGCGTAAGCCGAGGACGGGTCGCGGGGAAGTCGACAAAGGCAGCGGCTGTAGATCAAAGGACTCGCAACGCAGAATGTAATTTATTAGCATTGTGGTACATACTTATTAGTATTATGTAGTGCCATTGATATAGACAGTTGTTCTTTTTTTTTAAAAAAACAAATGATGTTTTTATTTTTTGTTTATGGTAATATAAAATTTACTAGAAAAAAAAAATCCTGAGACGATATTAATGAATATTAACACAGTTTCAAAAAAATGGATTACGTTAATTAATATGCTGTATTATAGGTGACTAACTATACTCATTTATTGAGTTTTGTACTCTTTTTTCGCAAACCGTACTCTTTTCAAATCCTGTACTCTGAAAGTACTCATTTGTATAATTTTATACTCATTTGTATTTCTAACATTTTTTTAGATTATTTTATTTCAATTTTATTAATTAAATATTTAAAATTATTTTGATAGTGATTTGATTTTCATTAGAATTTCAGTAGAACATATCCCAGATGAAAATTTAAAAGTTTTAATAGAAATTTTCTTATGTTGTCCAGGCACTAATGCTGCTGTTGAAAGGGTATTTTCACTAGGGAATGATTATTGGAGCAGTAAGAAGTCGCAACTTTCTGTAAAAACATTATCTGTCGTCTTAACAGTCAAAATTTTATTTAACATGCAAAATTAAAGTTGTTCGGATGTGGCTACATTATTACACGAACATCCTCATTTAGCAAAAAAAAAACCACTCCAAAGAAAAATATGTTTTTAAAAGAAAATAAAGTTTTTATTGTTTTTTCCTCTTTTTTTCACCTATGAAATACTTGCAAAGTGTACTCTTTTTGAAACAAAAAATAGTTGGTCGTCTTATATATATAGACATAAAGAACAATATGATCATTCCAGAATATACTAAATCTCATTTGAAATACAGTAATTATTATTCCTGTAAACTATCATTGTTTTATATCCAGAATAATTGAAAATAATTAATTGTTCCATATAATAAAAGAGAATCCTTATTTCCTTACTAACGTTATAAATGTGAAAGTGAGTTTGTTTATTTATTGTTATTATTATACACACATATTATTTGTGATAGAGATAGACGTAAACTTTTAAGCCCATTCAATCAAAAGAAATTGTGGGTAAAAACTAGTGTAAAAATGTATAGGTAAACACTATATACATTTATGTAATAAGAAATCTAAACCGAATACCTCTTAATGTGTTATCTAATTGCATACAAATTGTCTTAGTTCCTGGATTCACTGTTGTTTTATGCCTATGGTAATTGTAATGGGACTTTCTTTTACCCTTTCGTCCGAATGACATATAAACTAATAATAAAAACAGTAACAATACACATGTTTTAAAATCTTTGCAAAAAACCAATTTCATAGGTGTAAGTAAATATAAAACTGAAAATAAATTGAAATACCTATAAAATATTTTATTATCTACATTTAGCAGTAGTATGCAGTAAAAAATAAATTGGTAAGTTGAATACTGATTTACCTTTAAAACTATGGAGTCAATAATATAAAATACGTATTGTGGCACTAAGAAGCAACTTCAATTGTAACAAAATTTATAAATGGACATGAGATTAATCCTTATTGATTTAAAAAAAAAAAGATGATTTAGAAGTGCTTGTAAACAAGTCTATTTAAATAAAGATGATTTGAATTTGAATTAATGTTCAAAACTGATTCAGAATAAGCGAATAGAGACCTTCTTCTTATTGAAATTCCTTAAAAATATACATATAATATCTTAATCAACTTCACTACATAGTACAAAATAAAGTCGCTCTCCGTCTGTCTGTCCTTATGTATGCTTAGATGTTTAAAACTATGCAACAGATTGTGATACGTTTTTTTTTTCATAGAGTGATTCAAGACGAAGGTTTAAATGTATAATACAGGGGTGAAAGGGATTGCTAGTAATGGAGACTGAGAATCCCATTGCTAGCAATATACCCAATCAGGTCGACCTCCTCACGGTTCCCCTTAGAAACTATCATGGTTAATTCCTAATGAATTCATCATGATGGGCTAAC